TTAAGTCATGTGTTTGTTTTTGTTGATGTGTTTATGTGTTTAAAATAAAAACTTATATAAAAAAAAAGAATATCAGGTTGCCTTTACACTAAGCCAGACCATTGATCATGCAACCTAATGCTGCCAATCTCAACTGGCAGCCATGTTCCAGTTCCTGAGCTTCATACAGGAGTTTACTGTAGCTGCTAACTATTGAACCTGGGAACGTTTGCATACAAAAAACAGATTTTTTGCCACTAAATTATAAATTGTACACAAAGAATCTGTGTATGCAGTAGTTTTCCTTGGATCACTTCCAAACAACATCAGATATGATGTTCACAAAAGCAGAAGCACTTTGTCCTGAGCAAACGAAAGCAGCAAGAAAACAAACAATCACTTCAGAGAAATGAGTATCTGCTATCCAAAAGATTGAGACATGCAATTCCTGTGCACAGATATGGTGTGAAAGTGGGGTTGTCCCAGTTTGGTGAGCAATTGCCACCTATAATGAATTCGACCCCTGTTGGCGGAAAAAAATATATCTCCCATCTGTTAAGATTTCCTAAATCCTGGATTAGTTCCACACATCCAATTAGAGAAGTGATTGGCTCTTTTCAACAAGAAATCAAAATCAAGTAATTTTCCTGACCAAGCAGGGACTTTACTTGGACAATCTCATCATGGGCAATCAAACTTTCCTTGATTCTGGTTGTGAGTTCCGAATCTCAAGCTCTGACAGTGGGAAATCCCAATGTCAAGGTTCCAACTAATGAACCCAAGCAAATCAGAACTCAGAGACTGGGATCCTCCTCAAAGATCTTCTTTATTGAGTACATCATATTGGCACAACTTCAAAGGAAAACCAACTTTAAATCTTTCCACTGCTGTTTCAGTATAATTAAAGTAGGAACTAACCCCATCTCCAAGTGTCACAAATCACATTGGCCAATTGGGTTAATTGGCGGGCTCTCCGGGCATTCCTTCCCTGACCTTATTCGTTGCCAGTAGGGATGACCCTGATTCTCACAAGAAAGCTCTTTGTTGTGCCTATTAAAGCTTCCCAACCTCCTTCCCTCCTCCTTCCCCCTCTGTGTGGCAATTGAGGAACAGAAAAATGGCAGTGGCCAAATTTGGTTCAAAGCTGACACTCAGATCATTAAGATTTCCATTGAAGAGGAAAGCCTTTTGCCAGACGCCTGAAGCCAACAAGTATGGACCAATAAGAACAGACCAGGTTCTCTCCAACTGGATGTTTTTCAGATATGGTGAATTAAACTCCAGACTATATTGGGTTACAGATTCTCATCAGATACATTTTAGGATAGTCTTTGGTGTTCATAGCTGAGCCTATTTACTAAGCATTCTTCACCATCATGTCTGCTGCTAGATATCTAAGCTCTTCCCTTCTGCCTCCTCATTTTCAATCAGCCGCACCAACGATGAGCAATGACGCTCATCAGGGAAGTGGCATCTTCTTGCCATCCAAATACAGACAGACAACAAAATCACATGAACCTGGATTTCCAGTCCTGCAATAATAAAAAACTTCAAGGCAGCCCAAGGTAAAAGTGGTGCCAAGAGGCATGAAGGCGAGGCTGACATCTCTGAGATGGCGGCTTATGATATGCAGAGGTGAGAGCTATTACTTTCCATAGCCTTTGCTCCCTCAGGCCTCCTGCTTTTTGCCTGCCCGAGAGGCACCTCGGTGGTATTTTCAGGAGCAGAGTTTTTCTTTACAGTGGAAATAAAACTCTGAGAAACTAATATAATGCTGCACTCAGGCACCGAGCGCTCTTTTGGAAATTATAGCCCGGTGTCATGTTCACAAAACGGTCAGCTGGAGACCAAAGGAAGGTATGCAGTCTAGCTTATGGCTTCTCCAGCTGCAGTGGGGACAATTTGCCTTGAATAAAGTTTGTTTTGTCCAAAATCCTTAGTTTTACAGTTCTGTTTTTGCTTGTCTCCATGTTTGGGTCTCCCCTCCCTCTCATTTGGCACAATGGTTTGGCATCACCCCAGTCTTTGTGGAATGCAGGTGGTGGGTGCCTTTTGATCATTTAGATTTGATTAGATTTGATACAATATAGGGCAGGGGTGTCAAACTCAAGGCCCTGGTGCCAAATCCGGCCCATGGGGTGCTTAGATCTGACCCACATGACCACCCTGGAAACAGCAAAGGACTGGTCCGCAGTGCCTCTGAATAGCAATAGCAATAGCAGTTAGACTTATATACCACTTCATAGGGCTTTCAGCCCTCTCTAAG